AATCCTAATCATACACATTTTAAACCAGACATAATATTTCAGTATAAAACTGTGTTTATGCTCTTGCAGTATTCATTATTTTATACTCTATCCCTGTAGTTATGAAGTAAGTACAGCAAGCAAAAGGCATGTGATTTATTTAGGCACTACAAAATATTAGCTATCACTACCTTTTGTTACTTAGCGTAAATTATCTTCATAACTTGGATGATTATAAGTATGTTTGTTAGCAGCCCCAATTAAGGAAATATTTGTGCCACGTCCCACTGGGCATGACTATGCTAATACTTCTCTCCCCTTTCCAAATCCAGTGTCTAAATCTAATTAGTTTTGAAATTCAACCCTATCAGGACAATGTAACTCTGTCATCAGTTGCCCACAGCTCTTGATAAAGGTTGTGTTCCACTGGAAGAATTTTTTAGTGGTACTATTTTATATTACCCTACCCTTTAATGACAAACTGGAGATGAAAAGCTCATTACTAGCTCAGGGGACTAGATCATTTTATTATATATATCTGTTGTTTTACAACGATGCCAAGAGATGAAGGTTTTAAGAAATCCATGGAATATTTTTTCAGTTCATTTTATACAATATGGGAGTCAATACTAGTCTTTTAGCCTTCCAAATACTTTTGTAAAAACTAACATTTCAGCTTGCAGTTCTAAAGCTAACTTTAATTGGGCATATAATTTGAAATCAAAAGGACTTTCTTAACACAAGAGCACTTTTGGAAGAAGTCAGTCTTGTGACAGTGACGCTATCATTACTGTTAAATGGGGATACCATAAGGCCAACAGTAACCCAAACCTCCCAATCAATAAGGACATCATTATGCCACTACTGAATAGGCTCAAATCTAGAAAACCCTTCTGGAAATACGCCAAGAAGCTCTATGATGATAACAGGAGCAGTGAAGAACAATGGAGGGAAGCCTGGGCAAATACTAACCTGCCACAGAAATACATTGTTAGTGAGCCTACAATCCTTCAGCTAGGATTTGATCTACCAATAAAGATTTGGTCTTCCCTGAATCGCATTCAGACACTTCATGGAAAATGTGGACACCTATTCCATAAACAGAAAATCAAACAGAGTCTGGGTTGCGACTGTGGTGTGATTTTTCAGACAGTGCAACACATCGTGAACGATTGCCCAATTAGATCACTTAATGGCAATCTAAAATCAATCCATGTCGCTACCCCGAACCAGTTGAATGGCTATCAAATTTAGATATTAATCTATGAATGTTGTAATCCTAAAATGTCATCAAAAGAGAGAGAGATTATCATTAAAGACTACTCTTATGTATTACCTCTTTAAGGAGGTATTTCATAAAAGCCTGCTCAAGCATTTAGGAGTTAATATAAAACAACATTTTCTATGTAGCAAGACAGTTTCAGATACTTTATAAGCCATATACAACTTTGGGATTAACACTTGAAACTTGTTATGTATTTTAGTCATGAAGACTAAAAACATGGTTTTGATATAGTTATGGATGTTTAACTATAGCATTCTGAGCATGCACAGAGTCAGGTCTTTAAGGTTAAAAAGACCCACCATGTGTTAAACTTCAGATGTGATGATACAACTGTATTTTAACTAAGTAATAATGGAAATAGGTGCAAATGATTCTAATGGAAATTATAATATTGAAAGATGTTGGGGTCTTTCATAAATATACCAACTTTATACACTCCTTTTTCACTCTGAATACATATTGCTTAACTATTGCTTTGTCTGCAAAAAGAATAGTCCTTGACTTTTCAACTTGTCACTGATTCTATAGTAAAAGAAAATCTAAAACTAGTGATTGCAGCCATCTCTAATAAATGCCCTGTAAATGTAGAAGTAAGTCATGGGAGGAATAAATAAAGGTGATCCTGCTAAACTGGAGGGGAAGAGAAGAAAGATGAGTCTGAAAGACAGAGGGTCTTATTGGTCTAAAAAGACTTACTTTTTCTCTAATTATAAAAGTAAAGTAACTTTAAGTTCTTTTTCTTATTAGACAGGTATACTTGCACAGATTCTGCATCAGTTACACCCCTACAATAAGCAATTAAATCAATGTGTGACGCTGATAATGTCTAAATGAAGGTGGAATTTAGTCTTCAAGTTTGTTGATTCTCTGGGATCCCAATGGTTCCTTTTGACACGTATTATCTATACTCTAGGAACTGAAACTTATTTAATTCAAGTTCCTGTTACCTTACTGTATGGAAATCATTAATATGACAGGATTGTATAATGAATCATGATAGCACAATCACACCAGAACTACCATTTATTAGATTAAACTATAGGTCCATCTTGCCCAGTATCCTGTCTCAAATAGTAGAAGAGAGAGGATGATGAAAGAGAGAGTGAAAAGGGTATGAGCAGGGTTTTCCTCCTGCTCTTCTCCCACCTGCAGCCTCCAGTATGTTAAGAAATGTTGAGTCTGCTGCGTTTTTAATGCAAGGTGAAACTTAATGTTTGTGCACCCGACAGCAGTAAAATATTTCCAGTTCTGAAATAAGTACACCACATCATTAACAAGCAAAAATTCTCATAATGTAATATTTTAGTTCTCAATTAAAAACCAGATTCATAAACTTTGCTATCAAAACATAACTACATCATGCAAATTTGCATTACACAATGATCTATAATTACAAGACAACACTAAAAAAGGCAGCACTTTTCAGTGTATCTAGGAAGTACGTGCATTTCTGCAATTGCTCGCATAGAATTTTAGTACTGATTCTACAGCAATATTGTAATATGTAATACAATTATATTTTGTACTTTTTCACATTCAAATTGTACCCTTTCCTGTAACTTTAGGTACAAACCTGAAGATAAGACCTTGAAAAATTCTTCAGCACCAAATTCTGCTGCTCACTCTGTGAAACATGCAAAATACAGCACAGAGTAGTTTTGTAATGAGATGGGCCAGAAAAACAGAAATAAAATTATTCTTCTGGATTGTTATATCTATTACAGTTCCCATATTTGAAAGCACAGTTACCTTAATAGAGGGTTTTTAATACGTGGACTGATGATTAACTGTACATTTGCCAGTGTTGTGATGCCAATTATTATCCAGAGACTTGATGTAGCAGCTCAAAAATGCAAAATTGCTCAAAACACCTTTCTCACTGGATTTTCTCTTTCTCCTGGGGTGAATACTTCCAAGAAAGATACCCTTGCCTAATTTTTTTAGATACAGAAATTGTCATTGGTGTTGCTAATCACAACTCTTAGGAGCACAGCTTTGACAGAAACTTTGTCCCACAAATTAACATATCCTTAGTATGCCTGTCATATTTATCATGATCAATATTAAATATTAGTCAAGATACTGAGACTAAACTGTTGCCAAAAATGATCACTGTGTCTGTAAAGACGTAGACAATTTTTTTTTATTGTTAATCTTTTTACTAAAGCAACCAATAAAACCCAGGCCTGGGAGGAACGATCCAACAACATTCCTGCACATGTGATCTGAGGAAAAATGAGAGTGACATGCAGGTAATATATGAAAATATTTTTCAAATTATAATAAAGTATCTTGAAAAATTCCTTTAAAATAGCAAGTAAACTTAGTTATTAATTGTTGGCAACTATTATCTCACTCCAATTTATTTCACTTTTTGTGCTTCAATGCTTGAAAAGGTAACAAAAGGATCAAACGATATAGCTTTGTTGTTGTTGCTTTAAAAGGTGAAAATTTTAGGTTTACAATGAGGAAGTAAAGAAAATTATAATAAAAAATGCTTCCTTAACAAGCTGCAGTAAAAATGCACTTTTGTTTCCCAGATACATTTTATCTGGCGGTGAGAGCAAGGCATCCGACAGCCATACAGTAGTAATTGTGCAAAAAGAGGACGGTGATATAAATCACCAAAGGTTAATGATCAGGATGTGAACAGAGGGACTTGTTTACAGAAATAGCATGCAATTTAAAATTTACAAGAGATTTAATGCCACTGCTTGGCAATCGCTAAAATCAACAGCCCAGAAAACAGTGACATTAAGAAAAATATTACAGTTATAATCATTCCAAAATAAGTCAATTAGTGTTAGGGCATGCGCTTGCGATTACTTGACCCATTTGGTTTGCACTTAAGTGAAAAAAATTTTCCCCCTATTATACTGAGATTACTGAATTGTGACCTATTTTGCATTCCATATTTTGAACACTATCCTTTCTCACATGCTGCCTGAGATGGCGGCCAAGGGTTTTTTCTCCTTGCCTGGCTTCCAAGTAATTCTGACCTTTGACATTTGTAATAATAAAAAACGAAGGCAGTTTATAATTGTGTTGTTCAAATGAAGGTGGGGGAAAAATTCAATCTGCTATTATACAAAAGCCATGACGGCTGTCTTCAGTGAAAAAAAGCAATGTAAGTCAATTTGTGAACTTTGGCACCAGGCGACCTTTAGAAATACAACAATATACAGAATTTACAAGCAAGAGTAGCACATGCAAATGACCCGGTACTGTCTCGCCTTTGGATTAGAGCTACAAAGAGCATTATGGAGAACGCTTTCACAAAACAAATTAAGACTGTTACTTAAATGTCACGGCACACTATTGTATTTGGCTACAGATCATTACACCTGATACTAACACTTTTAAAAACTGTAATAACTTGGAAAATATTACATTGAGTGCCCACATGTATAAAAGGAAAATAGAAAAAAAATAAAAAAGAAAATGGGTTCATGAAGTAATTTAAACATCATCACTCCACGACTAGAGGGAAAGGTCAAAATTTAAGTAAGCTGAAAGGAACATGAATGGCAAAATAAAATGCACAAACAAAAAGATGAAAAGACCACTGGAATGACTCTGCAAACACAAAATGAAAGCACGCATGCTTTGGGCAAATTTGATTTCCATTCCTGCATTTGGAAAGGGAGAGAGGCAATGGGGACAAGACTTGGAGAAGCAGGTAAAAAGGGGACAGAGGGGAGGTGTTAATCTAAAATGTGCTGTTTTAATTTATTACCTTCAGTGTTGGTACTGCTGCTGCTGTATATATTTCGCAGGCTACCAACACGGTTTAGTTTCCAAGCTTTGCGTTTGGCTGCATCCAGAGAGCAGAGGGGAAAGAGAAAAAAAACAAGAGAAAAGAATAAAAATAAAGAAAAGAAAAATGAAAAAGGGGAGAAAAGAAATGTCAAAGTATCATGTGAAGTAAAATACAAGCACAAGCAGCTACATACACAACCACACACACATCCACAATGCACACAGAACAATACAGCTTCTCTGTACCACCAAAAATATGGTCAGCCCCTATTTTTTTAAATTGAAAAAAAGATACTTTTAAGTCTTTAAAACATGACAAGACTTGTCCAGATTAATTGGATCTGCTATTGTAAAATAGAAACAGACAATGGAATAGAAAATGTACTTGCAGTACTTCTATAATGATGCACTATTAGAGAGAAGACAACTATTGAGGTGTAATGCTGTTTAATTCATAAGGCAAAAACCCCCCTGCCAAACAAAGGGTTTTCCTTATTGCTAAGAGAAAGTATTTAATCGCTACATGCCTGTAACAATAAAAACTTAAATTTCTGGTGATCATGTAATAGATTTAAATCATCAAACAACTATGAATGCTGTTCCTAGTGTTAGGCTTAAATGTGATACTTAATAATTATTTTAGGTGTCAAGTAGATGCTGTCACTATGCAAATTTTGTTTTTTTCAGAGGCAGGTCACTAGCAAAATTGCTTATTTGGAAGGTAACGTAAACAGTCTGTTTATAACAGAATCTCTCATCGCTTTAGCAGAATTAGAGCAAACTTTTAAATGCCTATTCTGTCCTTTGAGTTTCAAGCTCCTGCTTCTGATAGTAACAGGAATAGCTCTACAGAAACTACTTAAAGTCCTCTACTTATTATGGAAGATTAATTCCATCACTTTATTTGGTTCTATATTTTTACCTCAAAATCAAATTCAAAACATGAGGAATAAACCCAACAGCATATTCAGACTAAAGTTCCATGAGACAAACTTCATTTTCCTTGTCAAACCAAAAGCAACCCCAAACACGCTACTGGCATTCAACACAAAACAGTATACAACCCTCAAATCATGTCTGTTTTTTATCCATAGAACATGCACAATAGGAACAATGGGCATGGCAAACATCTGACATTCCCACCCAAAATGATTCTTACATGTGACCTAGAAGAGCCATCTCTAAGGATGAGGTGGTAGATTATCAATTTGTGGATGCATGACTTAGCAGGTATTGTTTTCATAAAAATGAATAGGTGCAGAACAGAGAACAGATTTCACTTGTAACACTGGTGAAAGTGGCAAATCTCCATCATCTGTCAGAACTAGTAAAACTTGTGACTTCAAGCCATGCAAGCATAGGAAGACACAAATGCCAAACATTGAAGCAGGCCTCATATTCTGCCCAGTCTTCTTATTCATTCAACCACCAATATGCACCCATAATACTTCTGAGTAGATGAAAAGAACACTTGGTACAGGTGATCAGTATCATCACCCCCATTTTACAGATGTGCAAACGGAGGCATAGGGATGGAAGCAACCTATCTAGGAATATCCAGCAGCACAGGGCTGGAATGGAGAACAGAACCCAGGTTTCTTGTGTTACAAATCCAGCACCCTCTGTATTGAACTACACTGCTTGCAGAGCATTTATCAGAAAGAAAATGGAAGTTTCTTAGTCTCTCTTCATATATGGTCATGGTACATGGTGCAGCATATTTTGAACTAGAAAATTTACCATCTTAGTTCATATAGAGTCTATGATAAGAAATTTCAGGAATGTGATAGGTTATTATGGTTTTTCCTTCCCCCAGCTGTCCTTCAGCTTTTGGGATGATATATACACTACATAAAATATGCAACTATTTGAAAAAGCGTTTTTCTTATTTTCTTGTCCAGATATATATCCTTTATCACCATCAAGGACTGCTTCAACCAAAAAAACCCGCAAACAAACACCAAAAAACCCGTGCATATTGAAAAGTAACATTGCAATTAATTCCTTCATATGTTAAACAAAATTATACCTTAAGTTAAATTGCTGAAAAGGGAAAAATACTCATTTTCCACAGAAGAACACAAATAAGGAATCCAATTAGAAATGTTAATATGCAACTAGATTTACACTGTAGGTGATGTAATCACAAACTCAATTCAGTTTAATGCTGAAGGGAGAAATTCCTTCCCATTCCCTATTTAAAAAATTCTCCAAATAAGCACTGAAAATGACCTACCATATACCCACACAATCAAGAGCATTCCTATAAAAGTTATTAAAGTATAATTGAAGAAGAGTATCCAACTACCCTAGAACATTAGAATATACATACACTTTTTTAATACAATGGAATCCAACTTTTAATGCTTTGCACTGAGAAGGGAAAAATGGAAAAGTAGAGATTTGAGTGCTGTCACCCATGGCCTTACTTTTAAAAATATATTACTTAAATGAAGATATACAATATTATCTGGACATCTGAGTGATTGGGTCAGATTCACGTATACCTATAGTCAATTCTAAAAGTATTTACTATGTCCTTTAATATTAAGGACCTTCTCTTTTAAGAAACATTTAGTAAGTCTCAGCAGATACTAACAACTAGAGAGGCTCAATTTCCCAGCTGAAAACTTACTTTTCCTGACAAAATTTACATATAAATAGGCAAAATCTAGGCTTAGCCTCCCCTTTGAAAGGGGAGAATATCTCCAGTACATAAAGCCCCTTCCCAGTGTGCTTTGTTTTTCATTTTTCATACTCTAATCGCACATTAGAGTATGGATGTATAAGCAGGAAGTGAACTTGCAGCCTGGTTTTCTATTAACCTATTGATGAAATAATCAATTTTAATGTGTTAAATGTCATGCCTTTTTCTTGCTTTCAAACAAATGGACTTTTTCCTGCAGATGCTGAGATCCTGAAACATCTTTGCATGTCCTGCAACACTGATTAGACCCTAGTAAACTTCTTTATTGGGGTGCTGTGCTGTCTTAGATAACACAACATTAACCATCAATAGGCTTTGGACAATGCCAAATGCAGCCTGAAGGATTTTGATTGATGTAAATAAGAACACCAGGGCCCAGCTTAACCAACCTACCTTGACTGCCTTCAAAATTATGTACTGACTATAAATTTTTGTTACTTACAAGGAAGGCCTTAACAGTTACTGGAAATCATTTTGCCTGGTTTGTCATTGGCTTGCCTCCCAGGGCATTCAGTTAATCTAGTCTGGGGTCCCCTTCTAGTTCAAAAACCAGGTCAATGTAAGTTATGTCCATACTAGGATGTACAACACTTACTGGGAATCTAACTACAGAAATACTTGCTGTCTTTTGCTTAATGAAACATTCCTATTTTGAAAGGACATTAAGATACTTTGAATTTGCTAGTGTGTTTTCACTAGGCTACTTTTCCATTAAAAAAAAGCTTCTCTTTTTTAAACTATAAATTTGGGTTCAGATCTTTAAATTTAAATAAATCTATCCCACACAAGTTTTTTACCTTTTTAGTTTGCCCTGACATATTGAGTTTTCCATCTAGTATGTTGCAATATCATAACCTGCCTTATTAATGTGTTCCACAAGGTGTCAAAAGTCTTTTATCAATACCTTTAAACTTGCCTTTGTTTTGTATACATTGCCTATTAAAACCTAAACCCAACTGTCCCCAAAATCAAACCTGAATGTATATACAGACTTCAAGGAACAATTTTTGATCAAAGCTAATTAACACGCAGAATTTAGACTGATGAGATCAAATTTCTACCCCTTCAATCAGCAATTTAATTTGTGCTTTCTGACACGCAAACTAGACTGGTACAATAAGTCATTATTCATTGCTTGGTGATACAGAGCTATACTATTAGGAACACAGCTCTCACCTGCCAAACAATAGCATAATTGCTATAATAGTTTACTTCAGCACAAATCATAATCCAGCAATTCCTGTTATGAACACTCTTGCACGAGATTATAATTTCAATCTTTGTGATGCTGAGGCATCTTTAGAAAATGAAGGGTTAAAAATAATCTTGAAATCCAGCCACTTTTGTTGAATCATTTCTAGAATCTGATTTCCTGCTTATGCATAGCAGAAACTTCTTTCAGCAACCCAAGTAAAATATATAAATTAAAACGGTCAGATCAAGTAAACTAACTGATTCATAAGGAGGGAAGACCAATGAGTTTCCACAAAGAACATACCTTCTTGAAATGTTACAATAGGGCATACTGACGGTCTTTATCATGGAAACTATGGCACAGGCAAGCCAGTTGTTACAGCAGTTGTTCAATTCAACTTGGAGAAAATTTAACTCATTTTGGCTAACTGTTCTAACAGAGCCACTCACTAGCCATTTCAGACAAAAACTTCTATATGCAATCTAAGCTTTTAGATATACGCCTATCACTATACTAATGAGATATTTTTCCTATGAATTAAGTTATTAAGAATTTGTTCCCTCCTTACTGCACCCCCCAAATTTGTTTTAACTTTTAGTGCTTAGTTGTACACTCAGTGGATATGCAGCATGTTTTTTAAAAAATCCGTTAGCGTGTCTGCATTTTTGCAGTACCTGACAAAAGATGTGATACAGTACATGGTTTAATCTGGGAATTTTTGGTTTAATTTTTGTACAAGTTTAAGACATTCTACCAGTTCTCAAGAAGAAACACTGAAACCCCTAAGTACATGCTTTCATTGTAACCAACACATCCCAATCCATTTGGAACTCCATGATAGTGAATTCTGTATTCAGAAATCAGGATTGCATGATCTTCTTTCCTCAAAAGTAAGATGCGACTCTTAGAGCTGGAGTTCTAGGGCATTTATACATGCGCTTTGGGGGGCGGGGGGGGGAACGGGACACTTTAATTATAGTGGTTTTGAGAGCATCTTGTATATCAGCATCCCCATGCTTCAAAATGGTGAAAGCTTGTTAAATGAGCTTTAGATAATGCCCCCCCCCTGCCATTTTGAAGTGCAGGGATGCTGATACACGAGACACTGGAGGTTGCTGAAGCACGGTAATTACCACGCTCCAGCAGACTCGAT